TTTCTCACTTACCAAGTTCTCATGTGTTCAATGGGTACCATTGATACTGACCGTGGGCCGCATGCCCTTGCTTGCAGCTTAATTAGTGCACATATTGGTGACGCATATCTTTTCTTGTCAACCTCATATGTCATGATAGGATGCGCCGCTGGACATAGCAGCATCTAGGTAGTTGCTTCGGGGTGACGCGTCTTCAAGCCTGTCGGGCCTCAACAATCAAAGGCAACATATTAACCGTTAGCACAATGACCTTTTCTTTCCGGCTGATTTGAAGATGACACCCGTAACACTCGTTTTGTTCTTTTTTAGAAGTCCCTTGTGTCAATGCAGGTGGAGGCCCATGAAGAGAATATTCCACGCAAGCAACAAGAGATGGTCGAAACCCGTTAGGGTCTTTCAACAGGCCTGTTTGAGGGTTGAATGTATACCTTTCTTTGAGTTTTATGCAGTCATAGCTAGAATTATGTCTAACGGTGGGCTGGATTCTTAGTTTCAATGTTCTGGTTGTTGACAGGCTCTGTGTTCAAATATTATATTTACATACATAATATACATATATATATGTATATAATAAATACATATATATATATATATGTATGAATATGTGTCACCATGTAAGGCGCTGTCGCGCATTGGCTTGCCAATGACAACAAGGATCCTGGAGGGCAACAGATGTAGGCGTAGGGTTACACTTAGCCCAAAAGTGTTGAACAGATCCCGAGTACACAGCGCAGTAGAAACCCTAGTTCTTTCCAGCAAACTAGAATGGAGGGTGTTGGTCAGCAGACCAAGGTGAGGCCATTGGGATCCGAGGGGAAAACTTGTTTCTTTCTGCGTAGAGTGCAGAGCTAAGGTGTCGCGCTCCTGACCATTGCCCCCGACTACACTTCCTTCGGTTCTCAAACCCGAAGCCTGGGGCCCCACCGTTCGCAACGTTCTCCGGTCGTTTTGCTGCGCAAAGAAGTGCTCCCAACAGAGACGGTTTCGGGGAATGCTGCCTTTCAATAGCTCGTTGGCCGTGTTCCGTTGGTGAAATGTGTGTTGGCGACACAAAAGCAATGCAGTGAAACTGCCCCAAGGAGGATTCCAGTTCTTCGAGATTTGGGGTCTCAAAATCGAAGCGTAGAAGGATCTTTTTCTGAGCTGTTCGCTTTTTAAGATGGACTTCAAAAGGTTGGGTTCAAAACATCAGACTTTGGACTCATTGGGTGAGGTGGTGAAGCTGGCCGGTGCACGCTGCGGGTGACTGAAGACCAGTCCCGCTGCCAGGCGGAGTACTGAGATCGCGACGTGTAAGCAGATGCGTTAAGCTTATTCACGTGGGGTGGCGTTTTTGCGCACTTCTCGTTTTAGACCAGCCTGAAAAGGGTACAATCACACACTGATGTTGACCACTTGAAACACTCTTTTTTATACCAGCCTGCAAAGGGTCCCCACAAAGAAATGGACATCACTCTGATGTTGACCACTTAAAATACCTGACTAGCTGGCCCAAGCTGGGTACGTCCAGTTGTTAGGAAGTGTCTGTGTTATTCAACTTGCTTTCTCCGTTCGTTCCCCACCAGAGATGACAAAGCCAAAAAGGCCTAGCTGATTTGACCCTTCAGATGGACGCCAATGGGCATAGGGGGGCCACAGAGGAAGGTTCACGCTTTTGCACCCAGTATGACGAGCTTACGCGGGGCTAAATCGACAGATTCATGCCAGAATGGAGGATTCTTACTTGAGGGTCCTTTGGTTCAGGTTGGTGGAGCATGCTGGGCATGCTGACCATACTAAACATACTCATTTCATTTGACTCATGCATATCCACTGCGCAAGAGCCAGCTGAAAGTCGAGCGCAGGTGTCCGTCATCGCGACCTTCTTCACCCGCATTGCCCGGAACCCCAAGCCGAGGTTTGCCTGAGCTGGACGAATTGAGGGCCGTGCAAAACATAGAAGGTATGATTCTGACAGCGACTGCTTCATGCGCATTCCGAGCACCACTTCTGCGTTGTTAGGAGAGCCCTTTGGATTTTCCACCTGGGTGTGGGTCAAAATTAAACCACTAGGTGACCGCAGGTTTTCGTCCATGTTTCCATCTACCAAGGTTCCATTTTGGGTATCTATTTTTTATCCCACAGCCACCTGATCCAAACCCATTACCCCGCGGGCCTAAAGCCGTTCTCCGAGGCCTTCTCGATGCCAGCGGGAACCCCAGCCAGAAGCGGAGAAATCCACGGAGGGACCGTCACCCAGTGACTCACTCGGAGACTGAGGCATACTGAGGCGTTAACGACGCTTTGCCTTACCCCTCCGGTTTTGTGATTGAACAAGACAGGTTCTATGGAGGGGGACTGCTCGGAGATGACCTGTGCTTGACAACTCGAAATTTGAAATGGGCTCCCTGCTTATAACAGCTACAACAGTAGTTGCAGTCACTAGGCATGCCCCCACTTCCTGTGCATGCGTGAACTCTGGGAGTCTTTTACAAAGGGCAAAGAATGTTGCTTGTCATCAGAACGAATGGTGCTGCTTAGTGTCAATCTTTCCCACTAGAGTTGACAGATCATGTAAGACCTATGGATATTTTAGTGCAATACATACTCTCTGCCAAACATAGGCTGCGTGTGTCATTGTGTATCGTTTCATCGTTGAAATGCAGCGGGCAGACTATTTTGCAGAGACAGGGCACTTGGTGTGGATTCAGAATCTGGCATCACCCGCACTGGATGCGGATTCAGGTCTTCTCCATCGCATACTTCCTGGCAAACTGGGCCTTCATCTTGGTCTTCGCATTTGTCTTCGTGCGAGGCCGGACTGTACGGGAGATTGGAAAGGTGCGACCCTCACAGAGATATTCGGTTGCTCCATTGGGCCAGCATGGAGCTGTCAGGACTCTTTTCGATGAGCGTTCTTTGGGGGAATTTGAAAACTACCACCTTAGCCTGTTGGACGGTAGTTGGATATGTTGGCAGTTCGCATGACTGGCAACTTTGGATCAGAAATGAACAATTACTTGTATGAACATTTGTTTGATCATCAATTTTCATTAGCATTGATCAGTCTTAGGTCACTTTTACCGTGCTTTTCTCCGTATCGATTGGATAAGGCAGGTGGCCTGCTAGATGTGTGAGACGCCTGGCACTTGGCGGCTCAGGCAAGCATATTCGAATTCATACTTTGATTGCCCCACGAACGACTTAATCCGGTGTCCACTTGTCCATGTCAACTTGTGGTGGTCAATCCTTTCGAGCCTGACCCTCAAAAGCAGCGTGCCGCAGCTGCTGTCCGGCAGGCATGTGCTTCCAGAGAAGACAGCCCTTCCTGGACACTGCGATGGAGCGGGCGGCGTGAAACAGCGGGGTTTGCAGCATCATTTCTAAAGTCCACAGAACAGACGATGGCAGCAAACTGGCTATTCCAATTTCACCCTCTGTCTTGCCCTTGTGTGTAAATGCGAGGACGCCTGTTCGTTGTCCATGTTAAGCGTACGCCAATTGAATCCAGTTCAAAGTTACCTAAGGAGCCATGCCCTTCAGAGTGGAGGTTTTCCCACTGGCCACTTACTTAACGAGCAAGGAGGCTCATATGGTGCCAAAGAACGAACACTTGAGGCACTATGGTTGTGCATGAGATCATGCCTTGCGCAACACGTCCACCGCATGATGAAGCGCACACACACACATTCATACCTCTCCCTGCGCCATGGCCTGCCCAGTCATGCAGTTGCTGTTCCCTGTGAATAGGTTGGACAGCCAGACGTGCACACAATCTTAAGAAGTGATCAGAAGGTTGAATGCCAATGTGTTGGCAGCGTCGTGTTGAAAGCATGCTGGCAGGAAGGGAAAGTGAGGCTTTAACAGATGTTGGGTGTTCAGCTAGTAGGATCTAATTGGGGGACCGGGTGTTTTGCTTATTTGCTGTCGCCATGTTAGCCATTGCTCCAGGGATTGGCGGATTAGCATGAAGCTGATTTGTCTTTTTTGCCAACTACATCCTGGAGACATGTGTGTTTCATGTGTTTGTTTTTTTTGAGAGGTCTCGCGTGTTCAGGATTGTCGTGGCATTTCTATTGGGAGTCCGGCATGAGTTGATTGACAATCGTACCAGTGGCCATGCTAATGCGACTCACTCGGCTGACCGCAAGCCAGATTCGCAAGCCAGGACTGTGAGGAGGAAGAGTTGGGACTTCTGTCCTTTGCGTAGTGCGAAAAAGCTGCCTCCAGTGCTTCCGGGTCCATTTGCACTTGGCTTCAGCACGCGCAGAGTGTTTCTCTAGTTTGTCAAGTTATAATACGCTTTTGTTCTGCAATATGGCAAGTTATTGATGTTGCGGCTTGCTGCACCAAACCATGGGTGAATCTTTGCTTTCGTTTAAATCGATTGGAGTATGGTCCACTTGGTTCCAGGACAGGCCATTGATTTTCAGTTGTTGAGCAGTCTCCTATCCAGCAGTTGTTTGCCGCGGTGGGGTGTCCAGTGCCTGGAACCGAAGCTTCCTTCTCTTGCTCAAAGGCGTTGAGATCAAGTTTCTGATAAGACGACTGAAGGCTGAAAGGCTCATCCAGATGAGCAAGGCAACACTTGGTGCAGGTGCTTGGCCTTGGTTTGGCAGGAGGTTGGCTGAAGGTGTTTGACATCGCCAGCGACCTGTGTTTGTAACTTAGGGCAGGCGAGGATGGGGGGAGCAGAGAGCCCAACTGCAAAGTTCAAATTGCGACAAATTCGGCTTGAGACACCAGATGACACCAGGATTCAACTTCCCTGCGGTTGTGTGAACCAAGAGCACAGACTTTGTTCACGACAAGTATCTAGCGCAGAAGAAGGTGAGTGCAAGAGCAGCCGCCAATTGGAGGGCCTGTATCAAGCCAATCAAGAGCCATGTGCACCTGTTATTTATTCATATGTGACTTCCTTTAGTAGCTTTTACATGAAAAAAGAGCACAGAGCATATTTGCGCTCATGCGTTGTGCAGAGTCGAAGATCAAGTGCCTGGCCATGCGTGTTTGCCATGCAGGTATCACCATCACATCAGCAGCCACATACTGCTCCTGGAAAGCAGACGACCAGGACGAAGTTAGCCCTTGACAGTTGCTCCTGGCTTCAATTTGCCAAGATGAAGGTAGCCTGTATAGGCGCCACTGTGATGATCTATTTTGAATTATAATAGGCAATACGTATGCGGTGCGGTTCGGAGCATGGGCCCTGGACACGCACCGCTCCATCTATTTGAAAGTACTGCGAAGCACAGTGCTTTGTGCCCCACGATTCTTTGTGCCACGAGCTTTCATGAGATTTCATGTCAGCACCTGTTCGCACGATCCAGCAAAAGTTTTTCAGAGGTCTGGCAGATGGTTTACAGATTCCGTGAAGCTGATTTTGTTTGCAGCTGTTCAACACCATGGTTTGCATTCATGGCATTTGCGCTACCCTGCGAACACACAGCATGTGTCTGCAATTTATAACTTCATTCGAGTGTTAATCGGAAGGAGAGGCTGCCACAAAACAAGCAGCACAGCACCTAGGTGGCTTTGGAGTAGAAACGTGCGGACAGGTCGCTGATTTGAGGACTGTCTATAATCCTTGAGCAGATTAAGAAGGCTGTACAGTCATTTGCCAACTGGGAACGGAACCCCCGTGATGTTTGGGTGTTCAAAGAACTCAACGCGAACCCAACCATTTGATGGTCACCAGTTGCGAAAGCAAATTCATGTTGTTCTGTGGGAGGGCTCCTAACCGTGAAGCAAAGTTGGTGCTGCGTGAGGACTATCACATGAACTTGATTGACACGCCTGGCCACGTAGACTTCACCATTGAGGCGGGGCTGTCATGGGTCCTTCTGCACCCTTGGCGGCGGTTTGCCTGGGGCAACCGAAGATCCTCCCTGAAGAAGGGAGTTGGGGTAGGCGGGACCCATGTTGTGCATGATGAGCAGGAAGTCGAAAGCATATTTTCACAAGAACGCAACCTACTTCTTTTTGGATAGGTTAGGAGGATAAAGCCAAGGGAAGCCATCTAAAAGAGGAGCTGCCCCGGTTTGCCCCTTGCCTGACACAGCGGAACCAATATGTTTGTTCCAGTAAGACGTGTACGGACTACGGCAGATTCACAAGTAGGGAGACCACTGAAGACCGTACTGCCACGGCCCTGCACAGGTGGAGCGGGCCCTGCGGGTGCTAGACGGCGCAGTTCTCATTTGCTGTGGGGTTGGCGGGGCGTGGGCCTCAGCTACGACATGGATCGCCCCATTTTTGGGGGCAAACGATCTCGCTCATGCTTGGTTGGGAATCATCCGAATTCACATGGACTGCAATGGTGGGCAATGTGCAGAACATCCCAAAGCGACCATTTGAAGGTGGCACGGATATTGCCACAAGCCATGACAGTGTGCTTTGTTAAGTTTCAGGCTTTGGGGCTTACTCATTGCTGACATCTCTGAAGCCACAAGCAGAATTTGTCCAGACGCTGCCAGCCAGACAAACCTGGGAAGGTAGGAGAACCTGCCTTGGACGGCGCAGGTACAGAGTCAGACCATCACCGTGGACAGACAGATGAAGCGATACGAGGTGCGCCGTGTATCGGTTCAAGAGCAGTTGCCTTGTTCATAGCAATCATATGGCTCGCCCAACATCCCTACTGACCATTCTAGTTTATAGTTTCTCTTCGCTATGAGGGAAGCTTCCAATCAACGCCTCTATCACAACCATGATAGGCAACTAACCAGTGTCAGAGGGATTGGAGAGGTACTCAACTTGAGTTACTGGAGGCTGGCAGGTTCCGTTGCATAAGTTGCTTGCAATGTGCCTAGTATTCGCCTAATCTCACACAACATCTATTCTCCATACTTCTCAGGGCTTGATAGATGTACAGATGTGTGTGTGTGGTGTGTGTGTGTGTGTGTTTGTGTTTGTGTGTTTGTGTGTGTGTGTGTGTTTGTGTTTGTGTGTTTGTGTGTGTGTGTGGTTGTGCGTGTGTGTGTGTGTGTGTGTGTGTGTGTGTGTGTGTGTGCGTGTGTTTGTGTGTGTGTGTGTGTGTGTGTGTGTGTGTGTGTGTGTGTGTGTGTGTGTGTGTGTGTGTGTGTGTGTGTGTGTGTGTGTGTGTGTGTGTGTGTGTGTGTGTGTGTGTTTGTGTTTGTGTGTGTGTTTGTGTTTGTGTGTGTTTGCGTGTGCGTGTGCGCGTGTGTGTGTGTGTGTGTGTGTGTGTGTGTGTGTGTGTGTGTGTGTGTGTGTGTGTGTGTGTGTGTGTGTGTGTGTGTGTGTGTGTGTGTGTGTGTGTGTGTGTGTGTGTGTGTGTGTGTGTGTTTTTGTGTGTTTGTGTTTGTGTTTGTGTGTTTGTGTTTGTGTGGTTGTGTGTGTGTGGTTGTGTGTGTGTGGTTGTGTGTGTGTGTGTTTGTGTGTTTGTGTTTGTTTGTGTGTGTGTGTGTTTGTGTGTGTGTGTGTGTGTTTGTGTGTGTGTGTGTGTGTTTGTGTGTGTGTTTGTGTGTGTGTGTGTGTGTTTGTGTGTGTGTTTGTTTTGTGTGTGTGTGTGTGCGTGTGTGTGTGTGTGTGTGTGTGTGTGTGTGTGTGTGTGTGTGTGTGTTTGTGTTTGTGTTTGTGTTTGTGTTTGTGTTTGTGTGTTTGTGTGTTTGTGTGTTTGTGTGTTTGTGTGTTTGTGTGTTTGTGTGTTTGTGTGTTTGTGTGTTTGTGTGTTTGTGTGTGTGTTTGTGTGTGTGTGTTTGTGTGTGTGTGTGTTTGTGTGTGTTTGTTTGCGTGTGTGTGTGTGTTTTTTGTGCTTGTGTCACAGCACTAGCTGCTTCAGAGCTGACAGGATAGTCAAAGAAACAATCTTCAGGATATTCACCAGGAAGTTAAAATGGGAAGGTTTTGGGAATCTGGCCTAAGCCGGTTTAAGGGGGATTTAAGCATGTGTAAGGGGCATTCAAGCGTGTTTAATCTAAAACAAGCCCAATTTAAGCCCAATTTAAGATTTTGATGATTTCTATGCTTGGACAAGCCTTGGATAAGCCCAGTCTAGGCTTGGATAAGCCCAGTCTAAGCAAATCTAATTTCCTGTAGAAGTTCCTTACAAATATTCTGTGCGCTAGCTCCAACTGCACGATCCTGGATGATTGAAGCAATCAGATGCAAATCTGACTTGTTGTTATGGGCTGGTGTCCACATGACAAGCATATATGGAAGAGAGGCTGGAAAGGATATGAGCTGTTGTGGTTTTGTTGGCAAAGGACGGCAGGTTGCCGTGACTTTCACCATTAAGTAGCTTGCTTCACCATGAACTAGCTTTGCCCAATTTTTGGAAGTGTTTCACCCATTTGAACGCCGCGACAGTAGGCAATGCTTGCGGTGGATCAACGGGAACCCAGGATGAATCGAGCAAAGTGAAAGGCCGTCAGGGGGAGTCCACCTATTTACTTACTATCGACAGTGCAATGAATCTAGGGTTCCCAGTCATCAGCGTAGAGGAGACCTTGCGAGTTCTTGCCGTCAATGCTTTGGACTCCAGATTGTTCGATGGCACAATCTCATGCCCTGCTGGCCGGGCAGGTTCCTCGCATCGTCTTCATCAACAAGCTGGACAGATACGGCTCTGACCCTTTCTTGGCCGAGACCTCAAGCCTCGCCGGGGACAGTGCAGATGTGTAACGTTGACCCCATATTTATAATTACCCGCCAAGGTCGACAAGCATTTGGAACAACCAATTTGGAAGTGCATTAAAGCGCCCAAAAGGCCTGCAGAGGAGTAGAATGCAACTTCAGTATTTCTTGTTTGTGCTGGAAAATGCTCTATTACTCAGGGAGGTTGGTATGACTATGGTGACTGGCTCTGGCGGTTTCTGAATCAGTTTTTGTTCGGCCAAACCTGGCAAAGCCCTGTAATCATTAAGCATTATCATTTTAGAGCTCTCCGATGAACTGATGTCCATTGGACGTCCAAAACACACCCACAGGTCCACAAGCATCCACTAGGAACTTGGGTGTCCTGCGGGAAACATGGCTGTGTGTTGCGTAGACTGTTCTTGTTTGCAAGGTTGTTGGTTGTTTTTTTTGTTTTTGTTTTTCCCCTTTGTTATGCGTTGCCTATGTGTTTTCCATGCGTCGGGCTTGTCGAGGGACAAGATGTTGCTTTGCCCTCGTGAGCAGTTAGATGAACCAATTTGCAACAAGCTTTACCTGAAAGAGAAGGATATAGTATGTGCTGAAAGGACAAATCAAGCATATGCTCTCCTTCAGTGGGTCATACAAACCCAGCCATGGTGTTCTTTCATCATTGTGTGATGTCAATCATCTTGTGATGTCAGGAATCAGTTTAGTAGGCCCCAGCCGTTTTATACAGCAACGCATGTTGGTTTACTAACCAAGTCCAGCCCAGCGCACCGCGTTGTCAGATTGCAGAAGCATCCCCACACAACAGAGAGCACATACCAGATGTTTTACAGCTAAGATGCAGCAGGTGTTGAGAAAGCAGCAAGCTTGCCTTGAAACCGGGGAGAATTCACTTCTGAATTGGACTCTTTGTTGGGTTGTTTGATCATGACAAGTTTATCAAGTTGCTCCTGGTATGTTCACCGACTCAATCTCGGCTAAACAAATGCGAGTGTACTGGATTGAATAGTACTTGTAGAGCCCATGGAGCAATACAGCCTTCCGTGATCACCATGTGTTTTTCTCGGAAAATTGTGGCTTCAGGTCTTAGGCCAGATCCGGAAGAAGCTGGGCAGGGAGCCCCGAGTTGCGCGTGCCATCGGCTTGGGGAGCGGAGAACGGCAGGCAACACATTGCGCAGATACCAATAAATATGTGTTTTGGTTTGCAGCAGCTAAGTACACATGGAGTTTGCTTCTTGTTTGTGGATATCTTAGGATTGAGTCCGCTCCAGGTTCATCCTCACGCAGGGGCTGCATGACTTCAATGTATCCAATGGTGATAACCTCAGCACGACATATTCAGAGCGTAGGTCGGAACGTTTCATAATTACCAGTAGTGTAGGATGTGACATGCGGTTTTCAGCTTGTAGCGCCGACTCAGTCACATTGCATAATGATTTGGTCGACTGCCATAACGCATGATACCAATCGCAAAGTGAAGGGAGCCCGTGGGAAGACATGTTTTTTTTTTGGTGGAGGGGGGCTGGTCGGATTCCATATCAGGGAAGGACTGCTGGTCACCTTTTTGCAACTTCAAACGTTTGTGTCGCCAATGAATGGCAACTGATGTTTGATGATGTTTGTATGGTTGCTGCATTTCGCAACTTGCTGCTTTGCTTTGCTGCGCCGCCACTTGAGCCAGGGATTTTCCGTGCATGACACAAAGGTCTTGTTGTTTGCTATGTTGGCTGGAACCTTTGTGATGCAGCTTGTTTAGAGCCAAATAGTCCGACCTTGAAGCGCAATCCTTTTCATGGCCATGCTCGGCTTACCAGTTGAGGCATGTTTCATGCTTGAATGGCCCCCACTTTGGTGGGCTTTGCGAATGCTGTGATTCCCTGCCCTCAACCGTTGGCATGCCACTGGAAGGCTTAAGCGACTTAAGTTGCCTCTTCTCGATTTTGAAACTCTGCAGGTAGCTAGACATCCCCCTTGAATGCCATGTCCCTACTCCAAATTAGCCTCCGTTGCTTCTGGACCCAACAGAGACACCTCTGTGGGTGTGCCTTTTTTGGGGGACCCCCGCAAAAACAAGAAAGCAAAAACACGGAGTTTTTCCTTTGATTTATCCTTTACAACCACCGTATTAGACAACAGGAGCCAATGGTTGCAGCCAGACTGGAGCTGAGCCATTCTGAGCGAATTGCGTTCGCATCGGATCGTGAGGTCTCAATTGCGCACCCGTCCAGCTGCCCATTGGCCAGGAGGATAACTTCAAAGGCCAGCTGTCGGCTGCTTTTTCCTTCTCTATCCGGCTCATATTCGAAGACACGGGTGTGCAGATCAGCCCTGGGAATGCAACATGAAACTTGTGTTGGAGTCCTTGCAAGATGCGCAAAGCAAGGGTGCTGTGTTTTCACTTCTAACATCTATATATGTATATATATATATATGTATATATATGTAGGGTACGATATATATATATATGTGACATTTGTGTGTGTGTGTGTGTTTGGTGAATCGAAATTGTTTACACAGTGAGAATTGTGTTGCAGCGACGTTCTGTCATCAGACGACCGTGTTTGTGTTGTATTGGGCATTCCAGAATGTGCCCCACCTGAACGTGTATTTCGGATTGAGGCTTTGGGAAGAACATCTCATTGTGTGTGTGCATGGAAGCATACAGACAGACAGAGACAGACAGACAGACAGACAGACAGACAGACAGACAGACAGACAGACAGACAGACAGACAGACAGACAGACAGACAGACAGACAGACAGACAGACAGACAGACAGACAGACAGACAGACAGACAGACAGACAGACAGACAGACAGACAGACAGACAGACAGACAGACAGACAGACAGACAGACAGACAGACAGACAGACAGACAGACAGACAGACAGACAGACACACAGACAAACAGACAGACAGACAGACAGACAGACAGACAGACAGATAGACAGACAGACAGACAGACAGACAGACAGACAGACAGACAGACAAGACAAGACAAGACAAGACAAGACAAGACAAGACAAGACAAGACAAGACAAGACAAGACAGACAGACAGACATATGTACGTACATATGTACATACGTACAGATTGACAGACGGACAGGCAAGCAGGCAGGCAAGCAGACAGGCAAGCAGACAGGCAAGCAGACATGCACACGCACAGGCAGACAGTCTGTCTGACAGACTGGAACATCAGACGTACATAGTGTTTGCGGCGGGTTCTGATATTGATCTGCGGACTTCCTTTAGTTAGAGTATGATTTCATTACTACGCCCTTCTATGATTCATTGTGCCATTATCATGTAATAATGTGCTTATCTTATCATAGTTGTTTGGTTTATTCTATTGATTTGTCATATAATATTGTTCCTGTTTATGTTATTTGTTGATTATTGTTTGTATTGTATCGAGTGGTGTGATGATACAACAATTACAAACGCTGTGCGCTGCCCGCCTCGGTCAGGCTCAAAAGAACCACCAGAGCAAATGCGAGCTTGAGCAAATGATGCTGGGAAAGTGACTGCCGGAAAGTCGAGCAGAGGGGGCCGTCCAATGACGTGGCTGGAATGGGCTGGACTGGCGTGATGGAGCACTTTACGCTTGCCATTGAGCCCCCTAGCCCTGTTGAGAAGTCACGCGCAGGTTGTTCGTTGCTGCTATAGGCAGCTTTCTTTGAAAGCAGTTATGCGTGAAACCAGATGAGCCTATAAGAAATGTTCTGGCAACTGCACTTGCGCTCCGACTTTGTCCTTCCAAGCGTCGAACGGCGCTCAGCGCGGGAACAAACTCGAGGCTTTCACAGGCACGCAAGAGCCTTTTGCGCAAGCTCTTTTCAACACAGATCGCCTCACGCGTGAGGCATCCCAGCCCGTTTGAAAGCCGAAATGGGCGCATCGACCCGTTGATAGGCGTGAGAAAGAGCCCGAGGTTTTGCGGGAAAGCTCTAGCGCGTGGAGGTGCTGAGGCAGGCAAAGAAGGTCGTAAGCTGGTGGACAAGGAAATGAAGGTTGGGCACGGAGAAGGGTAGTTGGTCGCGGACTGAAGAGGAGGTGGAGGCCAAGCCAGGCTGAGGTAGTCTGGCCCACAAGAAGCGCTTCGGTGGCCACTTCATCGCGCACGCAGAAGGAAGCTCCTGGTCATCGGGGTTCAAGAACAAGCCCTACGAGGAGCGCAGCGGAATCGAGCTGCTACAAGAGGGCCGAGCTCTATGGAAAGAGGTTCTGAGGCGGTGTCAGGTGTGAACCTGTTTTGGTTGAAGAAGTTGCCGGCTGCCAGAATCCGGAGTCCGGAGATTAGGAGCTGGCCAGGGCACCTTTGTAGAACGAGGAGTATGAGACTGAGCAGAGCAAAGAGGCGCAGCTTTTCATGACACCGGAGCGGAGTGGACGTAGCCCGGGAGCAGGCTCTGCGGTCAGTGAGCCGGTTTTGGCCAGGAGGACTTGGGGGGAACTCGCTTGGGGCAGCAGACTTAGCTATCGGCAGCGGTGGCGGCATGGGAGGTTTTTTTTTTGGCGGGCGGCAAAGGTTCAAAGGTTCTGGGAGTTCTGAAAAAAAAACCAGACGGAGGAAGATCGCAGAAGCAGGGCACCTGCTGAAGGTGGACCAGGCATGAAGTCGTTGAAGAGCGGTGGGGCCAGCGGAAGGGGGCCCAGCACTGAGGCAGAGGTTGGCAATGAAAGTTCGGTGGAGGTGCCGATCAGGTATGTGAGACGCGTGAGAGGGGTGTGGGCAGCAGCTCAAGCGGCAGGGCCAAGGTGGGGCAGAAGTAGCCAGGACGTTCCCTAAAACGGGTTGCGGTCTGGAATGGAGATATCGAGGAGGCGATCGTGTGGGAAAGAGGTGAAGAAGGTGTTCCCAGATCAGACCGATGGATCGAGAAAGCCGAAAACGGGAGTTTGACCCGAGGCGTGGAAGGATGCCTGGCAAATGGACCGGTTTTCGTTTTGGGAGGCGACTACGAAGCTGGAGGTTGCGGGAATGGACCTGCTACAGGGTGCTCAAGAAAGCGGAGGAAACGACAAAGGCGCACGAGGGGATCTTGAGCTGCGAGATGTGCGCCGCAGGGCCGTGCGGGAGGCTGCAGTCGCTTGACTTTTGAGTTAATTGGTACGAAGGTACCAAGGGGGGATGCATGGGACACCCCCAACCCGTTTGAAAGCCGAAATGGTGGCATCGACCATCGCAGACCCTTGTCTAGGCTCGAGAAATGGTTCCAACGCATTTGTCCAAGAGTCGACCTAATCACGCAAGCGAAGACCAAACCCTTGAAAGCAAACCCTCCTGAGTCCCTCAAAGCCAAGAAAATCAGCTAGTGTTTTGCGCCCTCGAATCTTTAATCGTCTTAATCCTTTTCTTTTTTCGCTTAGCTCACCGCAGCTTCACTGCTGGGCAGGGATTGTCGACTTGGTGTCTCTCAAGGCCATGCCGGTCGATAAGTTGATCGCTACCAGTGGCGGGATGTCAGGGGAGTGCGGATGTGGTCATTAATGTTGACCCCATATTTATCACCCCCAGTTGATTCATACGGGGGTGTCCCTGGTTTGAGTGGGGATTCACCACTTTTAGAGTTGATTAATAAGGGGTCAACATGATTAAGTTGCCTTCCCTGGCAGTAGTTCATCATGAAACTTTGCTCATCATGTCGTCGCACAACGAGCCATGGTGCGAAAATGAAGAATTGTCTCCATGTAGGATGTGCACATGCATGTCCTGACCTGCGGTCAGGCAAGCTACTTTGAGGGAAAAGATGGTAGCAGTCCGGCTTCCCAGATCACGGATGCAAGATTCTTTGCTCATCCAGCGGTAAACTCAGCCTCGAAGCGAGTTTCTACACTATGAATAGGGCTGTTTACGTACTTGTTGATCATTCCACGAATTGCGAAAGGCAAGCCCCGCGCAAGATTGTATGATTCACAAACCTCAGGAGTGGCCATCGGATTGGTTTGGGGAGCTGTTGATCTTTTTCAGATGGCCTCAACTACGAATGAATACCACAGAATCAAAAACGTGATAGCACGCTCCGCCTCCAAAAAGCAGAGAGCGGTATGCCAGATGTGGTGATTTAGAACTGACCTTGGCTTATGAGCGGGCCTGCAATGCCTGAACCCTGCAGATGAGTGAGCCGATGTAATTAGGTCCAAGGCAAAGCAACAATATACTACGAGAAACTCGCACTTAGTCCAAAAACTGCGGGACCAGCACGTCGCAAGTCAAGTCCAGCAAAATCATTCCAGTGCCTGTCCACAAGCTCTCAAGACGCCAAGCGCCATAAAACAACAGCAGGTTGAGTTTTCAACATCGGCTTGACCAGCCTGTCGAAAACGCTTGAACTTCTTCCTCACCACAACACAGCATGTGCACCACTCTGCAGGGTGGTCCTTTTTGGATTGTTTGGACTACCTCACTGATCGTACAGGAACCATGTTGGGTCCTCCTAAGAATATGGAGTTCCTTCTGGATTTTTGCAAGAACATCTCTTAAACAAGGTAGCAACAGGACCAGCCTGTCACACCAACGGCTGCAAGGCCGCAAAATCGCCGAGATCCCCAAGGACATGGAGGCGAAGGCAAGTGATACAATCTAGGGGTCTGCTGTCCCGATGGTTTGATGATTGCGGATGTATTGTTTCCAAATGTTTGAACCCTCAACATGTTTCTTTTTGTTTTTTTGGGGGAGGGGTTGGGGAAGTGGTGGTTGAGATGTTTTTGTCAGCGTACCTGATCATCAGTTTCTTGCATTGCGCGCTCATTCACGGCATGCATGCTTTTCGGAAGCCCATGTCTTCAACACTTTTGGCTTTTCACCACCCCATTTGAGCGCCCAACCACCCGGATTTGCCAGCTGGAGGCTTAATGATGTTCAGGATAGGACGGTCTAGCCGCTTCCACACCACGGGTGTTTTTTTGGGTGAAGTGACGGTTTCCGTCAGGCCCAGGAGCTCCGGGGTCAACTCCTAGAGACCCTCGCCGACGTGGATGACGACTTCGCCGAGGCGCGCAATGCGGATGCTGCCTGAGGTGCGCGCAGTGCCCTGCTTCAGCAGCTGTGCGACAACTCCACACTATGACTCAAATGCGGCTCTTATGGGAGCGTCCCAATAAAGTATTATCTATATATATATATACATTATGCAAGCCATGCTCATCATCGACCTGTGCTTGGTCATGCTGGGTCTGTTTGGATCTGATGGGGATCTGGACCGACCTTGACATGTGGTCTCAGAGTGCCAACACACAATTTCCCGTGCACAGCTCGGCCAGTTGTTGAATGCTGAAGATTCCTGTTTTTTTTTTCAGTGAGTTTGTGCCCCCGTTTGCGGGGGGCACTCAACTCCATGATCTATGGGCCAGCTCGATGAGTTCGAGTTTCCACTCTGCCAGGTTTACTTGGAGAACGAGGATGTGCCAGCAGATGCTGTTCATGTGCCCGACCTGGTGGTTGTTTTTTGGCTTGCTCAGTGCGAGTAGCAACGATAAGCACACAGCACAAGCTCAAAAGAGGCAGCATACAGAAGCTTGCGTTGCAGATTCTGGGTAGTGCTTGCTTAAATTGTGGTGACGATTTGTACTTTAGGAAGGCAGATGTTTTGCCCTCGGGCTGTCGCTGTAGAGCCATTGGCTCAGCCCATCGACCTTTCTTCCCAAGCAGCCATGTCCTTTGCTGCGCTGAGGCTGCCATCCGACGAGCAACGATTGCTCGTACCTTCTGCCCGTTGTTTATGGGCAAGAGCCTCAGATTCTGCGAGAGGGCAGCAATTGCGCACCTTCCATGGCTTAAAGGAATCATGACAGCATGCCGTGGGATTCGCAGCTTTATCCAAGGGTCTGCCTACAAGAACAAGGGCGTTCAGGACAGTCGAATTGTGGCATGTGCAACCCAGCAGGTAGCTCGTTGAGCTGCCGCGTTGAGTGACGGGGTGGGTGCATGTGAGTGCCGCTGGAATTGTTTCTCCTTCAGCCAATGCTGTGCCATCCTGTGCAGAATTCCAACTCCTTGTCTTATCTGCCCTCCTGAACGCGCATGCGTGCGGGGCAGCAAGCGAGGATTTGCTTGACGGCGTGTGCCGCTACCTGTCTGGAGCTGAGGGCATTGACACGTCAACATGTTGTTTTGCATCCGTCCCTTTCATCAGATGCTTAGGCCCAGCGCGTTTATGCAAAGACTCTATCCTACGCTGCAAGTGTCATGTTGAAAAGGAGATGTTCAGTGCACAAGCCAAGAAGTCTTCTGCAAAAAAAGGCATTCTGACAGAAACCGCTAAGTCTGAAGAAGCGAGCTATTGCAACGCGTACTGGCATGCCTGCACAATAGAAATAGTGGGTTGCCACATGTTTACGCAACCGAGACCTATAGCTAAGCATGTGTCATGCACAGCAAGAAGCATGTGACGTTTCTTGGGGCTCAACCACGTGCCCCTGGAGTATGTGCCCCAGATATGTGGCCTCATATACCCCTTACATACCCCAAATTCAGCTTAGATACCCTAGTTTCTAGGGAGTGATACCCTAGCTTGCAGGGAGGTAATAGCAGGGGCACCTTTCCAGAACCACGGACTTGAGGCTCCGAGCCGATCCGCTTTTCGAATCCACGGGACAGGCCATCACCGCTGGACCGGAAGAACATCGCCGGGCACCCCGGAGACCAGCGGCTTCGAGAAAGGTCACCCCAGAAGGGCGAGTTCACCCCTGCTCTCACTTCGAGTGCACATACATATATATATATATACACACATAAAAACAAAAGTGCATAATATATATATAGAAATGTATGTACGTATGTAGACATATCCTGTGGAGGATTGTTGTTGGATATGTGCACATTTGTTCAGTTGTCCTCCAGCACCTGGATTTGTGCGAACAGAGCTTTGCTGGGGCTGGGTTGTTCCCTTGTCCAGTAGCAGCCAGGTACAATTGTGCGTTTCAGTCTTCCTTTATTTGCATGTTTTTTTTTTACAGAATATACCCATGTGTCACACAATTAGGATGAACTTGAAGTGTTTAGGCTTGGTCAGTGTTCGTCCGTCAGGACGAATCTGTTTGAATTCTGTGGCGTGTCCGGTTTATGCTAGCACCATGACACAGCCAGAGAACGTGTTTCAAACTGGTTTGTGAGTAGGCTGTTTGCTTGTGACATAGATAGATAGGCAGGTAGATAGATATATGATACATGTGGCTGCCTGATTGCATCCATAGATGCGAGCAGCATGCAGACTGCCGGTGAAGGATCCTCATGCACAAGGCTGGGATCAGCTGAGTAGTCAGGAGAAAGTGTCAAGTCAAAGCAGCACAGCGATTGTTCCCCTGATGAACACAAATTGGAGAATCAATGACGACACAAATGAGGCGGCAAAAGCTACACTTCAGCAACCCACGGAGTCTAAAGGTCATTTTGTCATGTATCGTTGTCACACTCACGCTTTGTTTTTTCCGCCATGGCACGCGTGCAGAGTGTGCTGCGCCTTGCCCGGGTGCTACAGGCCAGGCGAGACAGTGAGGTAAATACAGAAAAAAGGGTACCCTAGAACTACCCTTATTCTAACCTCTCTACTGGAGGACCTAGTTTTGGTTGTCCTATTTCAGTCGGGCAATCCTTAACCGAGATTGTCATGGTGGCTTCATGGATGCAGCTGAAAAGGGAGGCACTCTTCGGAGGCTTTCTGCTTTGGCTGCTGAAAGGGTCTTCAACAGCGGGTTGTCGCATCCCTTGGTTGTCGCAGGTTTCCTCCAAAAGCTTACGGCTTGCCAATGTACGGATTTCCGAGTTGAGCCTAATTAAGTCTAGTAGATGATTCTGAGCTTGGCCAGCACGCATGTGGCGAAACCACTCTGACCAGGGCCTGGCGTAAATCTCCAGATGGCCCTTCCTGACCTTGGGAAATGACTCTCTGGTATCATGAAGCCTGCCATCACAAAGATACCATATCTCTTTCACATTTGAGTGTCGGGGTCGATCCACCAGGCTGGAGTTCTGAGGGACGTGCATCTTTGTTCGTTGGCTCAACCGATGTCCAATCATTTGTCGGCATATTGTTCTTATAAGAGGATGAGTATCGTGTACTTCACGTGTTGCACATTGTTTCGGTTGACCTGCCTGGGCGCCCTTGCCAGGGCTCGCCCCTCTCCAGAGCTCCGGCCTGGTCCTGAGGCTCCATGCGCTGAGAAGATGTCTAGGAGAGGAGACCCCTTGATTGCATTTATTTTGGCACCCCTCAGTCATGAACCAAACAAGGTTCGTGGCATTTGGCCGGTTTCAGACTGCGCCAGACAAACATCCGTCAGCCGAAACCGGCCATTTGCTGGTTGCATCTGCTTGCCCTCGCCCAGATTTGCAGATGCTTGCATAAGCAGGAGCCTGGCCTGCCTTGGCACTTAAGCTGATCGATATTTAAGCTGCCCCTCAAAAGTCTAGAATGCCTTTGCAGGAGGGGGAGGCGTCCCCTGCAGCAAAAGGCACCGCCCCTCACACTCACATATGTTTGGTGCACTTGTGGGGATTGCCACTAGGTTTCCGTCCAATGACTAGCATATTGTTTTTCTTTGGCCCATCCTTTTTTCGTGAACAGCAAGCCCCGCTGAGCTCAAGTCATTTGGCTGTGGCTCAAAATTCAAGAGCTGGGGTTACGCAGGTTTTAGTCTTTGGTTTTATTTACCAAGGGGGCCATTTTGGTACATCTATTTGAGCCACAGCGATTTAGCGACAACTTTGGCTATCCTCAGTACGGGAGAGTGGAGAACGACCGCCCGTGGCCCTCAGCTCGAGGTGAGGCTATGGCAGCCGAGGGCGCCTTCGGTTATGGCGCGGATGTCTACCGGGCGTGGTGACGTGGATGGAGGCGGGAGCAAAACGGGACCTGATTCAGGTGAACATGGCCTTTGCTTCGCATTTCTGTTTGACACAGTCATTTTTCAGGGCCTGAAACCGCGCACATCACCAAAGAAGGCGTCTGAGAATGAGTTGAGTCGTGCACCTTCTCTGACTGGGAGGGGAAAACGACGCCAGGCACCACTGTGAGTGAGACCGAGTTTCACGCCGGGGAGCCCCAGCCAAGGAATCAGGGTACGACATGAGGCGATGCACATGGCTCAGGGGTTTCTACAAGTGTCCGATGTGTTTGCAATGCAAGTCGGCCTATGTTTCATAACATTCGCCAACACTTAAATAAAGGCCTATTGGCGCATGAGTGGCAATTGTAGAGCCTCCTTTGCCAGCAAAAGTGGCGACGTGCCAGCATGGTTTCCTTCAAAGACCTTTTGAAAACAGAGTCCCCAACATTGGGAAGCAACCAGGAGAAACTTATTTAGATTGTTGAATTGTTGATTATCCAGTCAGACGATGTGGGTGGGGGGGGTTGTACACACATTGAGGATCCCTGTTGGTTATTAAAGGGGAACCAAGAGAAACCAAGCATTTTAGTGTTGCTGGCCTACGTTTGTTGTCTTTTTTAGAGACGGCATTCCAACTAACATATTGACATGTCGTCTTGAATGTCTTTTGCTGGTCTCATTGGGCCTCCAAAAGACTGTCGAAATTCAAACTTGTGCATATTGGCAAGGCTGCAGGCTATACGAAACTGATCCATTTCCTCTGCATGAAATAGTGGTGTGCACTGACGTCACCCATTGGATGTTGCTCCTTCCAGACTGATGTATCACGTTTCCGACAGGCTCAGGCGGACAAGTCGTTGCAGCGCCTGCACGATTGTCTGGATGCCCATGATCTGGATTGCATTGACGATCTGGGCTTCGAGGCAGGGTGGTTTGTTGCGGGCAATTGGTCGATTGGGCGAATAACAGGGTCAGTTGAGTAGAATCGGTTTAGGCAACCAGATGCAAAGCAACTTGGGCTTCTTTGAGCTCCGAAGCAGGGCGACGTTTCAACAATGGCGGATTCAAAATAACTGGCTGGAGCTTGATGCCATGGCCCAACCAGACTGGAATCCAATGCCAATTCCAAATTGCATGCCAGTTAAGTAGTGCTCATCGCAAAGATAGCACAATTACAATTACGCTGCGCAGTCAAATACCGCATGTTTGGCAAACGCCAGCTCAAGTCTGTAGCAAAGTAACGTGGAATGGGTGCGGAAGAGGCACCAAACCCAAAAGCCAACAATGGCTCACAATGACTGACACATGAAGACATGATCAGGTTTGCCGAGATAAGAGGGACCAAGCTGCCAGTGATGGAGTCGCTTGCGGCCCAACGGCAAAAGATTCATCACCTCCCGGCCCCCGCCGGGCCCCGCACAAATGTGAATCATTGATTTCGAGGTGTTAGCGTTTGCAGCCTGGGGCCAATTTCTACTTAATTGTCCAAGGATGTGATGTGGAGGGATGGTTTTTTGTCGAGTGATCTTGAGCGATCGGTGTGTTTCGGTTCGACTCCTGACAATGAAATGAACAACTTGAATCGGACCCCTAATCATGTTGGTATGGGAAGGGGACAGCCCTCCTACTTGTTACTGAGGAGCATGTATGTTTACTCCCATGCCCGATGAGCATCTGAGATCATGTTGAAGATGTCTGCTACTCTCACCTGTGAAAGTCGTTGCGTTTGGTTTTGGCAGCATGTTTTTCGTGTAATACGCACACGAAACGCATCCGGTAGGGTCGTTGCAACTCCGTGTGCCAGTGGCAGAGTAGCGTCCGTAGTGGTACTCAAACAAAGCAGTTTTAGGAGACGCTTGGGCGCCGTGTGCCAATAGGGAAGGCTCAGTTGCAAGGACCCTGCCGGGACTACTCGTTGCGTTGTTTTTACTGGCAGGCTGCGGACTTTCAAGAAAAACACGAAAATGCAAGGACTTTCGCGTTTGGGTGTATCAGATGTCTTCTGGAATATGACGCTTGACTTCCTCCCCTATGCAAGACAGATTGCTGTCCTGATGATGGGCAACTATCGTTGGAGAATCGACAATTTCGAGCGCCAAATGCGGCGTCTTGCTGTCGCTATCCGCCAGCCAAACTGTTTGCTGCCTTTTGCAGGATGGCGTCCTGAACATCAAGCTCGAGTCTGGAAAAGCATATGTGTCTTGGCTGCGGTTGCTTGGACCAGCTGTTGCAGCTGTGAATATGGATGCTCACTTCTGCCAGCCATTCATTGGGACTGACGCGAATGGAGCAACGCCAGTGATGGTGGGCAGTTTCTCAGCAACAAGTTGCCTGCACATCAATGTAGCCATGTATGTTCGATAGGGAACCCTGTCTAGATCTTGAGTTTTGTTTGGGCTTTTGAAGCATGCCAAGGCCTTGTGTTGAAAAAACTCCGATTGCTTGCTTGAAAGTAGACGCCTCAGGTAATCAACAAGCACTTCTCCACCCGCCAGGCAGGCTCGCTCAAGAGTTAGCTTCAAGAAAGTCTATGTTGTATAGTTGTGTACTATGACTACACACGCGCGGATTGCAGAGAAAGGTCAAGCTTGAAGGGCCATGGCGCTTACTTTTTCGAATATACCTCTTCACATGCTGCACTGTTTTGCAACCAGACCCAGTTCTGATCTGTGAAGTGATATCTCTGTGTGTGTCTGTTTGTGTGTGTGTCAGTGTGGGTGTCTGTGTGTGTGAGTGTGGGTGTTTGTGTTCGTGTGTGTGCGTGTCTCTCTGTGTGTGTGTGTGCCTGTGTCCATGTTTTCGGCTGTGTCTGTATGTACGTGTCTGTGCATGTACGTGCGTGTCTGTGTGATTGTGTGTGTCAGTGTCTGTGCGTGTGCGTGTGTGCGTGTGTGCGTGTGTGCGTGTGTGCGTGTGTGCGTGTGTGCGTGTGTGCGTGTGTGCGTGTGTGCGTGTGTGCGTGTGTGTGTGTGTGTGCGCGTGTGCGCGTGTGCGCGTGTGCGCGTGTGCGCGTGTGCGGGTGTGCGTGCGCGCGTGCGCGCGTGCGCGCGTGCGTGCGTGCGTGCGTGCGTGCGTGCGTGCGTGCGTGCGTGCGTGCGTGCGTGGGTGCGTGGGTGGGTGGGTGGGTGGGTGGGTGGGTGGGTGTGTGTGTCTGTGTGTGTGTGTGTGTCTGTGTGTGTGTGTGTTTTTTTGTGTGTGTGCGCGTCCGTGTCCGTGTCCGTGTCTGTGTCTGTGTCTGCAAATGTATCTCTGCGTGAGTGCGCTTGTGTCTCCGAGACTCCGTGTGTTTGCGTTTGCGTTTGAGCTTGCGTTTGTGTGTGTGTGTGTTTGTGTGTTTGCATGTTGGCGTGCTGGTGCGTCTGTTGGAATGTGTCATCAGTGTGCTTGTCTCTGTGTATGCGTGCGTGTGTGTGAGGGTGTGTGGTGTGCCAGTGTGTTTGTTTGTGTGTGTGCTTGTTTGTTTGTGTGTGTGCGTTTGTGTATGTGAGTGTGTTTGGTTGTTTGTCGGTTTGTTTGTATGTTTGCGTGTGTGTGTGGGGTGGTCTACTCGTCCGAATTTGCTGTAAGCAGCATACTTCCAGGTGTCGAGTTTGCAGAAGGAAGAGTCTGAACATGTTCAATCAAGAGTTGGGCATTTCAGATGTCCAATCGATGCTCGGGCCTTGAACCCGTGACGAGATCTGGTACGCCTCGCCGGTCTCCGGAGCGATGTACTTCAGCCCGCAGGCGCGGAAGGGTGGTGCCATCACACCAGTGTTTGAAGGACTTGATCAAGTCCTAGGATGACCCTGTCTCAACTAGCACTCGATCAACTAGCACTGAATCCCATGTCTCAACTAGCCTTGTTTGTAAGTCCCTGTGTATCATTCTGGTTTGCAGGCAGGTGACACAGGCGTGTTGCCTTAGCTGAATTCAAGCATTGGTCGTTGGAGCAGGAGCCGCGTTGTAACGAGGCATTTGGGGATTCTCAGATTCTGTGCAAGGACGGCTTCTGTGCTCGCTGCTAAGAGGTTCGTTTGGCATGATGAAAGATTAGCTTTCCTGGAGTTCCAGCATGTGCCCTTGGGGGAGATGAGAACTAGGTATTTTCTGGGGCCATGGTCAAACCACGTGCATGCTTGCGATTGGTAGGACTGGTTGTCCCCTTTTGATACAGGATCCTTGTTGAAGAATCCGACCCCGGCTCTGTTGATGACATTTTACCTATGAGATGTGGCAGATGTGCTACCCTTCCTACGTCACAAAGCAGAAAGTGCATGGTGTGTGTGTGTGGGTGTGTGTGTGTGCGCGCGTGTGTGTGTGTGTGGGGATTGCTTTCCGAGCATCGGATCAAGGCGGATGGCAGCTGGCGAACGAAAGATGCGGTGGAGTTGGCGCAGCAGTTCTTACAGGAATCTGCACGGGCCACTGACAATGTTTTCCCTAAAGTCTAAAACGAACTCCGCTGCCACGGCGGGTTGGATACCTTTGAACTAGTGGAAAAGCCACAATTAAGTGGACAAAGATTGAAACATGTTTCCAGCTTGAAAGGTGTCCAACCCACCGAAATGCGTGTGACCAAAGTGAAGCCTGAGAGACAGCATCACGATAGTTGGACAAAAAACGCTCAACATGAGTCATGGACAACTGTCGCGTCTGGCTGACCAAACGGATGCTTGTGTTTGATGGTGAAGCCACGGAGTTGCTAGTCATGTCCTTTTATGCGAGTATGTGGTTGTGTCAATGGCTTTGGGAACCCATTTGCTAGCTGCAGCTGGCGGAGGAAGGGAGAGGTCGATGTTCCTTCGAGGGCACGAAACAGCACGCGTTTTTCTTTTGAACAGGCAGTTGCATGTCTGCTCGTCCAGACTGTTCATGACTCTGTGTTGTGTCTTTGTGTTGGTGTGTTTGTGTATCTTTGTCATGTGTGTGTGTGTGCATGCCTGTGTTGCGCGTGCGGGCGTTAATGATTCAGCCAGAGGGAAACAGAACGAACTGATGGAAAAATCAGAACACAAGTTTGGAAATCGACAACCATCAGTCTGCTTGTTGCTCCCTTCTCGGATACTCCTGCTTGAGATCGGTCATTGCCGCGATGGCAAAGTGTGTCATGATGTTTTGGGTATCAGCGATTTGTTTGAAGCCCAGCAACCATCCCGGAGTTGGGAGAGGAGTTCCACCGGATTTGGCGCAACCGTCTCATTTGGACCAGTGTGGCGATGGTTTGTGTAATTACTTAAGCAGCCACCATTGATACAAGTACAAGCAGCCACCATTGATACCAAAGAAAACAGTGGGTCTCTATGCTGCTGGACATCTTTACAAACAATGGCATGTTTGTGGGTCTCAGGGGGACCTCTCGGCATGTCAATGTTCAACACACACAGTGAGGCGACTGCTACTGGTCAGTAGAACAACCCAATGAAAATCATCCGAGATCCAGCTACCATTGCCGTGCTTGTATTCACATTTTCTTGCGGACGCAAATTGTTTGCAGGACTTAGTGAAAGATTGTCCAGAAGCACAGTCTCTGGACATCAACGAGATGCAGTGAACGGCTTTATGCTGCGAGAGTGCTAGAGGAGAAAAGAGCGAAATGTCGTCGTTTCAGTTAGATCTTCCACTTTTTTCAATCGGCTCCGGAATCGACATGAGACCGTTTGCCCTGAAGTGTCCACGTGTTTTTGATTGCATGTGGCTCTGACCCATTTTATGTGAATGTGCTTCCCCTGGGCCTGAGTGAAGACAGATCTCAGGGTCACAAAACTGGGACGCCCCCGTGGCGAGAGCCCAGGCTGCTCAGACGCGGCAGTTCCGTAGGTAATGAATCAGGGGGATTCATGTGGCCAGAGTGGAAGCGCGGGAGACATTCCGAGGCTCTGAAGGCAGACGACGAGGATGAGATAGTGGAGCTTTCCTCGAATGCTAAGGCCTTTCGCGCTCGAGAGGCAGAGAGGCAGAGAGGCAGAGAGGCAGAGAGGCAGAGAGGCAGAGAACTGGTGACATGCGGGAGGGAAGACCCGTCAGGTTGGTGGCTCAATGACCCTCCCCATTCAGACCCTGTGTAGCCAAATGTATTGGCATTAACCTCGGATCCATGTCCGCACAATTGGTGTGTCAGTGCAACAATAGCGAACAGCCAGTGAGGACCAGCGAACAGCCTAGGGATGACCACAGTGCCAAGCAGATTTAGGTGGTGGCGCCCAGCCCACGAGGCATATCTCTAATGGCCAGTTGCAGGACCCATTGGTGGGCTATGCCTTCAAGATCCAGGCGCGAAGATCCGAAAAATCCCATGTTGAAGCCCAGGATTTGTCAACTGAGCCACAATCAGAACCCGGGAAGATGAAGGTTGGTAAGAGACAATCCCAACCACAAATTAATAGCTGCGGCCGCCTTCGTAATTCTTTACATGGTTCTGGTAGCATTTTAATACCGGGTTTTGATTATGACCCAACTGGGGTCGTTTCACGTCAGCCACTTTGCGAAGATCGAGCTCAGGCGGCCTGTTGGGGCCTGTTTGACCCCCTTCGTTTTGCTTTGGCAGTTTTCCCACTTGTAAGCACTCATTCGCATTCAGGGAAAGCGTCCTAGCTGGGAGAGCACCAATCCATGGTCAAGTGTCAAGGAAGCCAAGGGGCATGTTCACGCACAGAACGGCGACCTTGTGAGTCAGCCTGCCTCTTCTGTCGCCCGGTAAACCGTTTCGACTTCCCAAAGGACACGAAGCCGCAACAAGATGGACGATACACATGTCAACAATGACGTCCTTCAGGGTTGGATTTGCACTTTGCTTGGCAGGTGTGAGCTGTTTCAGGCCCATTCTGCCCAATTCGACAGTCCTCCCTCGAATGCATGGCCGATCTTTGGGCACCAGGACCATCCCCTGGCCGGGCAAGTGACCTACATGCGGGCCCACGCCTGAGATGGGTGCAATCATGGCCAGTGGCACACCAATGGATCTACCCGGCCGAGGCCAAATCGAAGCCCCGCTTGTTAGGAGCTGACCGTTTGACCTGTTGATTCTCGTGTGGCCATGGTGCCGGTGCGTGTGGTGTCTGCGTAATATTCGAAGGCAGCATAGGCATAGGCGGGCGTAGGCATGCTGCACGTGGGCATTTCGTTGCAGCCAAGTTTCGGAGGGATCACCGAATTCAGGCGAATGTTCTGAAATTGTTTGTCCGCTGGAGAGAGTTTGCCAATATGAACATGGGGCGAAGTAGAGGGCGCACCAAATGTTTGCCGTTCCAGCAGTATTCTTGCAGAATCCGCCAAGCACTTAATCACTGTCTTGCTAGTGGGTAGCAAGCTGTCGTCGGCCGAAGGTGCAATTCATTCCCTTGTAATATTGGATGATAGATAGTTGGACAAACAACGCCTGGATCCTTTGGTTCAGGCCCACATCATTGGATGCTGGCACGCGATTTGGCAAAGCGCACACACACACATGTCAAGACTTCCTTATGTGTTGGCATTTATGTGCAGGTCGCTGCTGTGATGATGCTCAGATACCATTGGTTGAAAGGCGTTTTCTCAGAGAGTTGCCGCCAGGTCTATCAGGGCAAGGTAGGCAAGGGCGACAATATCGCAGCTCGGTTGCAACCATAGCCTCGCTGGCGTGGCTACGGGGCTTGATGTGATGGCGTATGAATTGAGACAGCAGGTTGATAGGCCAGGTGAGTGTCGACTGAAGGCTCCAAAAGAAGGCTGTTTTCACAGAGCGACAGCCCCTGCGATTGCCTCACCCTGCAAAGGAACACACGTCAATTTCCTGAGCTTCTGACAGTCCAAACATCCGATGCCAGGTCAACATGATGAACGACAAGAGGACGCGGTGCTATGTGATACAGCAAAGGTGGCCGCTCCACAGCTCCACTTCTGCCGCGGTCTGGTGGCTTGTAACAAGGTTTTTGAGCATGGGCCAAGTCTTCCATTGCGCCACTCAGGCGGATTCCGGATGCACCTGGCAAGTGCAGGCATGACGGATAGAGTAATTGGACATCACAAGTATTATCCCATTGGTGTCCAAAGTTGGTGCTTGATACATCTCATGTCCTGTTGATTCTGCATACAGGCCCTTGAAACAACTGTGTTGGCACAGAGAGTTCTGCAGGAGGCCCGGCCTGCAGAAAGGAATCAGGGATGGCATGTTTAGTTTTTTTTTTTTTTTAACGGTCGCATGCAGATGCGTGACCCTTTATATGTTTGACTTGAGTTTGTGCAACAAATATGAAATATGCTTTGTGTGGGGTTCTCAATATCATAGTCATTCCCCATATGCACAAATGCAGGGGGCTCTTCTTGTGAGAAAATTGCCGACCCCTTCAAGAAGGAATCCTTCACTACGATGGGGGTCGATCAATTGTCCACAAAAGCCTGCACGAATGGTTGTCAGTAGTGATGAGGACAAGTTTCTCGGTTGCTTTGGGAGGATCTCTGTGAAGAGACTGGTGCGCATGCACTCCAACGAGATTAAAGATGTGTCTGAGGCGCTCGCATCTGCTTGCTCGCGCCCCTCCAAAACCCACTGGAATTCCATGCGGAAGCGAGACCTTGACCAGCTCACCCTTCAAACACCCCTGCACCGGAAGCCAGCCTGAAAGTTGAATCGACATGACAAAGATGTGTGTTTGTTAAAACTAGCATCCCTTGTTTGGATTTGTGCTTTCCTGGACTTCCTTTCGGGTTCCTGTTGCGATCCTGATTATGTTTCCAGATGAGCCACATGGGGAAGCGTGTGTTCATTGCCAGTGCCCGTGCAGCATGTGTGCCAAGTTTCGCAAAGGGAAATGTGAACCGAAAGAGGCGAGGATCCAGCAAGGGTGAGTCGGCCAAGCTAAACCGCTATTTCCGTGCAGGAGTGACATCACAGTAAAGATATTTTGTGGGAGGAGTCTAGTTTGCTCGAAGGGACCCGCCCGGACGCGCACACATTCATACATACGTACTAATTAATATACCAATAATTTCTGGCAGAACCTGGGGACGGAAGCTTCAAAGTATCAGAACTATAGTTTGGAGCACATTTTTTTCTGCTCGTCCTCTCTCTCTCTCTCTCACTATCTTCTCTCTTTCTCTCTTTCTCTCTTTCTCTCTTTCTCTCTTTCTCTCTTTCTCTCTTTCTCTCTTTCTCTCTTTCTCTCTTTCTCTCTTTCTCTCTTTCTCTCTTTCTCTCTTTCTCTCTTTCTCTCTTTCTCTCTTTCTCTCTTTCTCTCTTTGTCTTTCCTTTTTGTCGTTCTCTTCTCCTCCGCCTCCTTCTCCTTCTCCTTCTCCTTCTCCTCTCTTTATCTTGCAGTTTGTCTTACATGTCTCTCTTATTTATCTTTCTCTTTTTGTTGATATGTCTCGTTTAGGATTTGTCTTTGGCCCTTTATCTTTCCCTATTTGTCTTTATCTTTTTTCCCTCTCCCTATACAGTATATTCATACTTTCTTTATCGTTCTCTGTTGATCTGTCTCTTTATCTTTATCTTTGTCTCTTTATAAAAGTCGCTCTATGGATGAGTGAGCGACAGGAAAGGGAGGGGTAAAAGAATGATCACCATTCACCTGCTTCTCTGGAATTCGCAATTGTCTGGCGTTATTTCCATCTCTTGAATTTTGTCTAATCACTTTTTTTCTGGTTCCTTGTCTTTTCCAAGATCCACCAGTATAAAACGGGATTCCTAGGCGAGAAATAGGTGGTTGACATCATCTTTCTCCTCTGTCCTTCCCATGTCATGCCCAGCCAAGTCATCTCAGGGACGAGGCCCGGGACCTGAAAGACATGGATCGTCAGGATGTTTTTGGAGAAGACAGATGATGGTGATGGAAACAGACTCTTGAACAGATTTCTGGAGGCTCACTTCGTTGTAAGCCTCTCTATTCAAGTTGTGTCCAAACGATGATAACTACAGTAAGATGAGAATCATAAGGAGGGCATGTTTATTTAGACGGAACATATTTGAGTTCAATGTTCGGGCAGGGCCTAGCAATGAGGAGTCAACAGAGGCAGTCCCTGCAAATTGTGGCGGCCCAGTTTCCTGCAAAGGCGGCACCAAAGACAAAGCCCCAAACATCAGGCCAAAGCCTATTTCTCAGCTTTATCTCTGCTGGGAAGCTGTTGGAAATGCCACAGGAGAATGGAGGGGTATTTATTTTAGGATTTTTTTTCGTTTTTTTTTGGGATTTTTTTTCGCTTTTGGCTTCTTGGCTTCTTGGCTTCTTGGCTTCTTGGCTTCTTGGCTTCTCGGCTTCTTGGCTTCTTGGCTTTTCGGCTTCTTGGCTTCTTGGCTTCTCGGCTTCTCGGCTTCTGGGCTTCTTGGCTTCTTGGCTTCTTGGCTTCTTGGCTTTTCGGCTTCTTGGCTTCTCGGCTTCTGGGCTTCTAGGCTTTTCGGCTTATTGCTGGTTTATGCGGCTTTTGGTGGCTTTTTGGCTTTTCGCATCCTCTGCATTCCCAGTTCCTCTTCGGCAGGTGGCGTTTTTCCGACATCATGGGGGGGGCTGCCGGCCCCCCCCAACCCCCCCGCTACGTTTTAGATTTTCTGCAGAGATTTAATCAGTTGCACCCCTAGTTGAGTCATCAATTCTTCGAACATCATGGGGGGGTTGCACCCCTAGTTGAATCATCAATTCTTCGACCATCATGGGGGGGGGCTGCCGCCCCCCCCAACCCCCCCGCTACTTTTTAGACTTTTTGCAGAGATTTAATTGCACCCCTATTCAAATCATCACTTCTGCAAACAACATCGTGGGCGGCAGCCCCCAACCCCCCCGCTACTTTTTATATTTTTTTACAGGGATTGACATGCCCTCCTACTTGAATCATCATTTCTTTGACCCCGTCACACGATTTGTGGGTGATGCTAGGGATGTTGGTGGGACATGCGGGGGATGTTGACGGGCTAGTGTAAAATGCGTCAATTTCGCGAGAACATGCTGTAAAATTCGACACTTTACTGGCCCGGCAGAGATTGAATTGCACCCCTGTTTGAATCATCACTTTTTCGAGCGTCCAATTTCGCGAGAAAATGCTGCAAAATACAACATTTTAGGTAATCTGTGTAGTCCGTGTATGTCTGTATGTATGCATTTCTTCGAACATCATAGGGGAAGCCACCCCCGCCAACCCTCCCGCTGCCTTGTAAATTCTATCACACCCTTTCTTGAATCATTGCACCCTACTTGAATCACCACTTCTTCCGACATCATGGGGGGGCTGCCGCCCCCCCCAACCCCCCCCGCTACGTTTAGATTTTCTACAGAGATTTAATTAATTGCACCCCTAGTTGAATCATCAATTCTTCGAACATCATGGGGGGGGGCTGCCGCCCCCCCCCAACCCCCCCGCTACTTTTTAGACTTTTTGCAGAGATTTAATTGCACCCCTATTCAAATCATCACTTCTGCAAACAACATCGTGGGGGGGGCTGCCGCCCCCCCCTCTACAAATTCTTCGAACATCATGGGGGGGGCTGCCGCTCCCCCCAACCCCCCCGCTACTTTTTAGACTTTTTGCAGAGATTTAATTGCACCCCTGTTCGAATCATCACTACCCCGCTCTGTTTTTCTGAATTGTTTTTTTGTATTTTTTTTGCTTGGATTGAAATGCCCTCCTGTTTGCAGCATTATTGTTTTGACCCCGTCAACCCGCCAGCTACATTTTTGGATTTTGTTACCCACCATTTGTTGGTGATGCTAGGGATGTTGATCGGACATGCGGGGGATGTTGAAAACGATGCTGGGGATGTTGACGAGCTAGTGAAATGCGTCAATTTCGCGAGAAAATGCTGTAAAATACGATATTTTGCTGGCCCGGACGAAAAACTAAAAAAAATCCCGAAAAAAAACGAAAAAAAATCCCAAAATAAATCCGCGCCCCAGGAGAATTCCCAGGTCCAAGCAAATTCCAACCTGAGATGCGCTTGCCGCAGGCCTTGGCGGGCGACATTGTAGCGCTGGCCGGGGTGGACTGCGAGTCGGGCGTGACCTTCACGGATGGCAAGTCCAGACTGACGCCGGGCACTCAGAGACTTCCGCGCAGTTCAGAAGCCAAAGACGGGGGTTTGTCTCAACATGGGGGGGAGACCGTCAACACGGTTGGTTTTTTTCTGGTTTCCCTGTAAAACACGCCGAAAACAGGGTGCCCTCAAAAGACAACACACACACACACACGTTAAGACGCTCTTGGAAATGCAACATGGCGAAGGTCGCAATTCTTGTGAGGGTTCCAAGAATGCTGTGGACTGGACAGCTGTTGTACCGAACGTTCCTTGTATATTGCAGATCTGTGTGTGATAGCTGACAACTGATAGCGGCTAAAAGGTGAAGATTGTTGCTGAAGGACCAACATCCCCTGAAAGCAACTCACTACAGTAGCTGTGGTTACAGACGTTTGAGGAGGGGAGGCACTGGGTACTGCTCAATTTTCCAGCAAACCGAGCTAGACCATCCCGTTTTCTCATGGCCAGCGTACAAAGGCTTGCTTCACACCTGCTTGTTGCTTGCGCTTGCAGTTTGGGAGAATTCAGTCGCGCTAGTCTTGCATACTGTATGAGCGCGCCTTCGCTGGGAAACCTGACAAAGTGTCTTTCCAACGGGAAGGTGATTGCACAGAGCAACTCAGAGGCTCGCTTTCGCCTCGCCGCGGAAACTTTGGGAACTATCGGACTCGCAAGGTGCAGCTCCATGTTCATCCCCGAGCCGGCTGCTTGCCTCAAGTGGCTCCAAGTGTCTTTGATTTGCCTCGTCCATTGGAGCAAACAAGGGCATCTGCAGGACCTCATGCTTGGCTCAGTATTGCAGTTGAGAGTTTGTGGGCTAAAAACGGTATTGCACATGTTCATGCAGTCCAAACAGCTTCTGCACTTAGCCTGCTCCTGCTGGGGAAAATACTACGCATGCTGATTGGCCAGTTTTAAGTTTTGCAATGCAACTCCATATTTGCTGGGCAAAGGCTTTGCAGCAGACATCAGGCAAGGGCGGTAAAGAGAGACGAGGGAGAGCGAGGGAGAGAGAAAGAGAGAGAACCAGCACAGGGCCGAACTGTTCACAGCACTTGTTTTCCCAGGTGATGTCTTTGGCGGTGTCGGCTTCCCGAGATGATCAAGCGCGTTTCCAAAAGGCCGAGAGAGTCCCGTGCTTGTGGGAGATCGCCGGCCTTTTCTTGGATATCGAAAGGAACCTAAAATGGATCCAATTGCGAGAGTCAACTAATGGGCATTGTGCGTGCCACTGCCTCATTGAAGCTTCCATTCTCCAGCTCGCCGGATGGGAGTCACGTCCCTTTGCTGGCTAAGGGGTTGCGCAATGAAGCATGCCTTGGTATGCAAGCAAAAGTCCTGACACTCAGCAAGGATGTTTGTTGTGTGCCTGTTTGGTTGCTGAAACATGATCAGGGCATAGCGTAGCATGTTGGCACACGATGCAGATAGATCGCTTGCTCATCTGAGAATCTGGCTGATGCAGGGTGTTGACTCCTTCTAGAACTGCGAGTCTTTGTTCCCGCGTGCTGCACGTTGCCCCTGCCCGGCTGTCAGGCATTGAGGCGTTTTCAGCGTTCTGGGCTTAGTGAGTGGCAGGTTGCTGGGCTCCTCGTGCAAGGCTTGGTCGTTTCAAAAGTGATTCTATCGACCTGCTCCTTGACCACTATCAAAGCCATTTACAGTATGCATTGAACCATTCTAGAAGGGGTGTAAGGGGGTGGGCCTTGCGCCAGAAGCACTGGCAACGCTTGTGTTTGCATTGCTTGGGATGCAGCACTGATAAAGCCGAAATAAGATTTGAAACGGGATTAATCTGCTGCCACTGAGACCCGATGCTGAACCAAGCTTTTTCCCAAATCCCTGCTTAAGGCCTTAATCAACTCCCTTATTCAGCTGTGCCGGCTGATTTGCCCGGCAGAGGCTTTTCAGATGGGACAAGCTGCGTCAGGTCGGGTTAAGCAGGTTCTGCAGTTGATCAATTTCCTAGCCCCCCCAAATCACCATGGGTAACTTTCCCCATGTAGCGGACAAGTCCATCCCTTGTGCCGGACCTTTCGATCAACCCCATGTCAAGTCCTGACGGACTCACCTCTGTGGGTGTTCAGAATTCGGGACTCGTGGTGGTTGGTGTCCTGGTGGGCCCTTTGAGACACGCCCTTTTTGGGGAATAGTGGCACCTGTGTTTCGTAGGATGGACTCAGCCCAGGCGAAGACCCTACCTTCCGCGTGGAGGTGAAGCAAGAGACGTCCCATGCTGAGATAGATGGCGGCTATGGATGGGTTGGGAATCCAACTGGAAGTGTATCAGATGCAAGCAATACACAATGCGCATGAATCCATGGGATATTGCAACGTTGACCATTCAAAGTGCGTGTTTCCTTCGCACACTCTGCTTGTCAAGGTCTGTATGCCCTGACCGCCCCTTGTAGCACGAAAAAAATATGAAGCACCATGTTTGCATCAGTATGCCGTTGCAGTGGCAAAAACTGCCCACAACTGGGTGGGCATGGCCTTTTCCCGGCTTGTCTCTTAAACTTGTTGTTTTGATCTACCAGTTGTGTTTGTGTGGATAGCCACGCAGACTTCCTGCATGCAAGCGAGGTGACTCGTTTGCAGGTGCAGTCTGACAGGGGCCTACGCCTGCAAATCTGATTGAATTCGCTGGCTGGTCCACCGACATTCCATTTTGGTGCCTTCAAAATTAGGGTGTCCTTGCAACCTGCAAATGGTCGGTTTGCCAGCGTTTCTTTCAATTGCCAATCTAAAGCAGGGTCCCTTCAAACAACATACTAGTCATTTGTTGGGGGGTGATAGCCCCAAACAGAATGCCACATCCGCAAACGGTAACGTTGCTTGATTGGGCAGAACCGGTTGCGCCCACCCTGAACAATTTGGCAGGTTGAGGTTGACAAGTTGTCGTGGTTTCCTGGGTCCCCCAAATGCATGGGACTTTCAATCTAAGCGACAACCACAGATCACGAGCGACAATGCAAGCAACTCCAAATCCGCAAGTCCGTGATTCAGAACTCTTTCATCGGAGATGCGTGCGATGCATTAGGAATGAAACCATCATCTCGGGCATGGGGGAGCTGCATTTGGAGGTCTACTGCGAGCGCATGCGCCGCGAGTTCAAGGCCTACTTGGGGCAGGTGTTTGGTCTGAGGGTTGCCTTCCCCCCCCGGACAGTTTCGCGGACTTTGAGATACAGAAGGCTCTCCCTCAAAACATCTAGAAATCCTCGGCGAGCCGTGCACTTGATGTTCAAGTTGCAACAGGTAAAGCTGGCTCGGGCTAGCGCATGAGACCATTGAAGTTGTCCCAGATCAAATTTGTGGTGAATCTTCCCTAGCCCCGAGAAGCAGCCAGACATACTTAGAGACATGTCAGAACCAGGGCCAGCCTTCAAACGGCACGGAGTTCGTGTTGGTTTTCTTTGAGCCACAAGCAAGCCTCTTGTTTTGAACGATGCCCATGGCTGCGTGTGTATGTTCATGTTTCAATGCATCCGATGCCACTGCGAGAGAAGAAGCAAAGTGTTCAGAGCGCCAGTCGCTTTTGTGTGTCTGTGACAGTCTGAAAGAAGCTCAGAAGGCGAGATGCAAATCTCTGAAGGAAGCGTCAACAGTCTCTTTCGGGTTTCGCGGGGATGTGAAGGCGCGATCGATATACACGTGACGCTTACATCGTGTAATTTGTTGAAGCATCACATTGTTGTAGCCGCTGCGAGCCAGGGTGTTGCAAGCTAGGGTGCATCACTTGTGTTGCTGCACGCAACGCAAGGATTCTTTTGACAAGCCATGTGCATGACCTTTGCTGCTGGCCGCTTTCGTCAACAATTCGACTTACTGCCGAGAGGAGTGGCTTGGTGTGCGAATCTTGATTCGTATGTTTCAGAGTACCAATGTGGTCCCACGCCCGACAAGATAGGAGCATCGTTTCATTTTCGGTGCGTTACAAAGCAATGCAGCTGCTGGGACAGGGGAATATCTTGCAGGCAACACCAATCCTGCAGCATGAGTACTCTACATTCTTTGGGAAAAAACGGATTGTGTGATTTGTCCAGTTCCAGCTGGGAGGTAGTCGTTCTGCTGATGGTAACCAGCAGGTAATTTCATGCAATGCAGCAATGCCGGCTCAAGCATAGGCTGGGCTGAAGTGCGTCACGTTTCCAGAAGAAAGAATACGTGTCGGCGCATTCTGGGTTTCGATGTTGCCCTTGTTCCCTTTGAACAACTTTACAGCAGCCGAACAACCAGGGTCTCCGCAGTGGGAAACAGGTGTCACACCTGCCCTTTAAAGAATGTTGGGTTGCAGTTTTGCAGGCTCTTGCACAGGCCATCATCGACCAGATCATCTATTCGAAGTGTGTGGCAACAAGTTGCAATCTTTACGCGGAAGCAAGCAGGCCAAACAGTCATACCAGCAATGTGAAAATGCGAGATATGGCTTTCACACCTGGCTGCATTGCTTTTTGAGGAGCACACCCACACTGAAGCAATACTACTACCAAAAAACAACAAGGAATCCACCAAAGATCTTGGCCGGGGAAGTGTCCTGTGGGACCCAGCAGGGCCATTCTTTGGTCGGAATTGTTTCGTTGGGGGCATGCTGCCATGTCAGCTCCGGACTCTAGCCCCACGGAGCGGTGGCTGCAGCAATTGCTGGAAGAGTGCGAGATCCAGGACCCAACTTCTGAAGCTTGTGTTGACCACTCTAGAAGGTTTTCTGCTGCTACAACAGCTGCAATCGCTGCAATGTGACTTGACTACAATGAGAAAGCACGCCACCACTACCACTACTACTACTACTACTACTACCACTACGACTACTACTACTACTACTACTACTACTACTCCTGCTCCTGCTACTGCTACTGCTACTGCTACTGCTACTGCTACTGCTACTGCTACTGCTACTGCTACTGCTACTGCTACTGCTACTGCTACTGCTACTGCTACTGCTACTGCTACTGCTACTGCTACTGACTGCTACTTCTACTGCTACTACTACTACTACTACCCCTACTCCTGCTCCTACTCCCTACTCCGACTCACGCGTGGATTTTTTGACGAGCGCGCAAGTGGAGTGTGCGATTGGGCTGTGCGAGTGTGCGAGTGACTCGAACGCCCGCGTGCCCTACTCGCACACTTTTCGCTCCTGTTCTTGACACGCAATGTAATTCAGGGTGCGTGAGCCAAAATAGGGCTTAAAGAAGACACTACATGTTTGTTTGAGTGACAAGTGTACAGTGTGCGAGTAAATAGGACGCAGGTCCGCTCGCTCGCCCGTTCCACTCTCACACTCGGCACGCGCAACTCGCACACTCGCACACAGGGTACTCGCAGGGTACTCGCGCGGGAACTATTAATTGTGTTTTACAACCTCTCGGTTCCAGACTACCGCCGCAATGAGGAACGAGGTTTCGGCCCCATCAGCATTCCCCAACTCGATTTGGAGTGTAGCTCATCCTTGACACCCGTGAAACTAATCGTTCTAAGTTGCTGAAAGTGAAGGAGTGTTGTTGATGGCATGTGTGGGATGTATGGGAATCAAGTTTAGTTTGAGACTTCTCTCATTTCACCAGTACTATGGTCAGATGCGCTGATTCGTTGGCGCCAAGGAATTGTCAGTGACTTTTCCACTATAGACCATGTATCCATTGCGCATCCTTCTCCTCAAACGTTGAAGCATCTATAGCCCGTGTATCTGGCGAGTACACAAGCCCTGGCCCAATGCACTGGATCAGGCAGATGTTGGGGTAATTGCTTATGGTTTGAGGCAGTTCGGTTGAAGCCGGGAGACAATTCTGAGGCAAATGCTTAAATGGCCGGGCGCTTTGCCAACGGCCACACCCCGCCATCACTTGGAGAGGGGGTAGGCAGTTTCAGCCCTCAGTTTCGGAGTAGCACCCCCTTTGCTCGATTGGCTTGACGGGTCCTAAAGGACCCGCAACACATGGACTTGTTACAAGCCCCTTCAATCCAAAGCTGAAGGAGAAGGCCCCACGTGGCCAGAATCTGGTGGCGTGGATCCGCTCCTCCATCCGGCTTCGCGGCTATGAGGCCTCCAAGGACGCCGCAAAAAGAACGCGGCCGTCTTCGGGGTTGCCACAGGAAACTCAAACGACCGCCTGGACTCGGCTGTAAAGGCTCGAACCTAAAGCTGTGCTTCTTGTCTCTCGCAATGATGGCAGTACTGTGTGGCTTGGTTTGTACTGCCAAGTACAGCCTAGTGTCGACTTCATATTAGTAAACGGGATCCCCCCTTGTTTTATTTTTTGTCGGGCAAAGTACCGGAAAAAAACACAATTGTACTTGTAGTTATTGCTCCTGTTACTTGTTGTACTTGTAGTAGTAGCTGTAGTACTTGTAGACGTCCTTGTTGCACTGCTTCTAGTACTTGTAGTATGACGTCTAGTTCTGCCTAGGGGTTGCTTTGGGGTGTTTATGAATGTGAACCCTTTTACTCATGCGGGTTTGGGGAGCTTATGTGGAGTACCTCACGCTGGACTGTTGGTAAAGAGATTTCGATAAAGGCCCCCCTTCCCCGGGCATGTATGTTTTTTGGAGATCTGAGGTCTGCCGGGGAGGCTCTGAAGGTTCCAATTGGTAGTTGCCTTGCCTGGTGCGCTGCACACTTGTTGCATGTGTCTTTGTGCCATCAACTTTTGCACGATACCTGCTTACTTTTGAATCGTTTTGGACTGGTTTGGTCGCTGTTACAACAATGCTTGTTTGGCTTGCCCCCGCGTTTTGGGGAATTTTATTAATGCGAGTTTTTTGGGTGGTTTATTAATGTTGTGCTTTGGAGAGTCGACTTGGGGGGTCGGCGTTGTATGTTTGCAATTAACTTTTGAATTAGCCCCTTCTTAGTTTAGTATTGAGTGAAAAAGCGGGTCCGGTGGCCCAGAATGTTATTAATATGGGCCCAAGTATAAAACTTAGGTTGACATTACAGGGCGACCATTGAAAGACCGGAGACTGAAGCTTAGTT